GGGCATCCCTGACGGACACCGCTTTGTGTACGGAAACTTTTGGAGAGCTCGCCGCTCACACGTCCGGAAGTCTGAGAATACAAAGAACGTATTATGTTTACAAACTTCCGGGGCATTCCTTGGTGGGCAAGCGTCTCAAGAAGAACAAACCGATCGACGGAGTCGAATGCGCCTCGGGAATCCAGGAATACTAGAATTATGGGTGGCTCATACGTACTTAAGACATAACTGGTGAAAGGAGTTATTTATTGGAAAGTGCCAACTAGACCGGTTACAGACCACCGGGCAGGGAAGCAAAACTCTCATTTGCATCTTATTTACAAACACTGTACATCAATCTTCTTCTGAATGCGTCTAATTGAACTTTCCTGGGTATTCATTGGTTCCAATCATTCCTCGCTCAAATCCAAGCAAATGTTACCGCAAGAGATCTTCCCTGTTCAAGAAACACAAAGCGAAATTCCACGAACAACACATACTACTCGCGTGCCCCCCACCAGTAGTATCACCGTTACAGTGGTAGTACTGTCGTATTTTCGGGTATCTTTTGCTAGAAGTAACCCTTTTTTAACGCAGTCATAATTGAATGCATGGACTTTTTTATACTCAAGCCGACTGAAGATCACGACACTTGCGACAACCGTTCAGCAGACCATTGCAACTTGGTAGAGTGGGATCGGATGTAACGAGATGTGAAATTGGAAGAGTTGTTTTCCCGCCTTTTTTTTAAAAAAAAACAGCTCGGCAAATTTGTTGAAGTAGTCACGTGGTGTGAGGAATCTTCACGTCACAGTCAATAGATTGCCCAGCAATAACTTGAGCGGTTCTATTTCAAGACTTTCTGACAAGACAATAAAATTTTAACGGATTCACTGCACTTTACAATTGGTCCAAGCTGAGAACGTACAAAAAATCACCCCCCTGAGGCATTGGCATTCCATAAGGAGTCACCAGCAGAGGTGACTCGTGTTACCCCTAACAGTTTGGTTTGTCTTATCTGGTATAGTCTTGTTCACCATTCGTGCTGGCGTTTTTCTTCGGTACGTATGCAACTCGTGCACCAATTAAACATAACAACTCTTATTGAAAGGATCTCCAGACAGGCACGTGATGTCCGAAACGTTAAAACCTAGCGACTATGTGAATTTTTGAACGCAGAGGGGAAACGATCGGCGGTTCTGTCCACCACTTGATCTCTGAGATTCGTAACATATCATCCTGAATAACGATGGATCCATGTCGAATCTGCGATCTGGCAATCTCAACGACCCGTCAAGAAGCTGGTTGGCACTGAAGACAAACTGCCCGTCTGCAGTCCAGTCCAGTATGTCAGGTATGCTCAGGTCCCATATGATGAATACCTCCTGACCGCAAGCAAACAAACGCTCAATGGTAACCAGTCTGAAGGTCACTGATGGGCTACACAGAATCCAAGGCTAGAATTTCTTTGGAAAACAGCTACGTTATTTGTCTAACTAACACATTTGATCGATGTACCTGTCAAATGGACCTTCTGCATTTGTGGGTCCCTCATCCGCTCTTCAGCCGATTCATAAAAATGTGAAACACTGTTTTTTCACCCGAACCGAAGTCCACGGGCAACTTAGTTGCCAGAAAGACGAACGCTTCACGTGCAAAACAAAGTAAGTAAGGACAAAGAGCGCTTGACGAATGTCAATCAGAACGGAGATTAAAGGATATTAATTACCACCCTTGTGTTAACCAGGAATACCAAACGACCGGCGAGTAGTTCAGACAGTGCCAAAACATGAAGACGCGATGCTATTGATCAACCGCTTTCCAAGGCTTCTGAAGAGTCGCTCCGACGGTGAGGGGACAGATATAGAATAAACTCAGAGAAACTGAGTCCGAAAATGTACATGAAGACGCGATGCTATTGATCAACCGTTTTCCAAGGCTTCTGAAGAGTCACTCCGACGGTGAGGGGATAGGTATGTAATAAACTGAGTCCGAAAATGGTTGAAATTTGCTTTACTACTTTTTCAGGTTCAGTGGCCTCTGTAGATTAGCAAGAACTTTTGAGAGACTTGCTTGTTCACTGGTAGGACCTAAGGGGTATTAATCGTCGATGAGACGGTGTTGTACTACGAAATCCTTCAGAGAAAGACTTTGATTGTTTTTAGTCAACCGAATGATGATGGCTCGACATCGGAACAAAACTGGCGCAAGATACTCTGGTAAAATCAATAAAACATCAATAGCCTGTCACCAAACTGAGTATCGCACGGTCAGTGTTGATTATTGGAAAACAAAACAGATATCGCACGCATGGGAATCTCTTGTGAACACCAAGGTAATCTCGAAATGACTGCATTTTGTCAATGACGTACAATTTAGTGTTTATTTAGAACATAAGGTTAGTGAAAGCTCGGGGACCACTCGTAGCTGACGCGCCCTAAGAGGAGCGAAATCTGCTGTCGAAGAGTTCACATGGCATGTGTAGCGCGATGACCTGTCTAAATGCGAGTCGATGAACCACGATCGATTGATCGATTAAATGTTCAAACTACTGGCTGCGGGAGGCTTGGAGTTGGAAACTCCCAACTGGAGTTTCGTGAGATGCAAACTACTGATGGTTCCGAATAAGGATAAGACAGCTGTGGAGCGCTTCTCGGTTTTTCAGCACGGTTAACACATCGAAAACCAGGGGGCTACTTTTAAGGACCGTATTTCGTTGAGAATTTTGTTGCACAGGATATTACTACCTAGGGTGACCTGGTACTTTTCATGGGGTGGTATATTTGAGGACGGAATTCCCGCAGAAGTCCATAGGACGCGGGATTGGGACAAAAAGAATGCTTCCAGAAACTGACGAAAATTCCAGCTGTGGACTTAAAATCACTGATGAACAACGCAAACTGACCGGCAAAGGAGCAAACCCAACCAGCAGTCTCTGGTGAGCAAAGGCAACTAGTAACGCAACATACTACTGTTGAAAGGGGCCGACGAAGATGTCCCCGAATTCTCACGGCAAACGGTTGGCACTGGCTGCAAATGGGTTTAGCTAGTCATTCATCGTTCAGCTGTAGCCCCTTTTTGTGTATAACTTGACATGCTACCCGAAGGGAGCACGAGGGCTGGGATATTGATAGGTTGGCCAAGCCTAGACAGAGGAAGTCGAGAAGCAGAGGTCGGGTTCGAACCACGGACCTTCCGGTCAGTAAGCTTGCGCTCTAACCACTGAACCCCCCTGATTAAGCTAGGGCGTCTAAGCGTCTGTTTATTTCATTTCAGCCAACCTGTCGTGAGTTCCGCTCCAAAAGTACGTTGGCTTTAGTTTCTACGATTTCGTCCACCTAAAATGGTCGATGATGGAGGAATAGCCAAACGCTGGGGACGATAATTCACTTGGTTGTTTTACTTTGAAATGATACGAACACATGACGTGGTGGAAAATAGGTCAGTGAAGGCAATAGCTTTGAGTCAAGAACATCGCATGAGTGACCAAGCCAGCTCTGTTGGTATAAATAACCGGTTACGAACTGAGCCCCAGAGTCTCCATCCAGAGAGATGGCAACCGATTTATTCCCCTGGTTCAGGTTTTCATGACTGGTGGCTGTGCCGTAGACAGTCTACCCCTCGGTAGTTCCCACCAAGTCCACGGCTGGGTAAAAAAATACTTTGTGAGGTAGGCAATCCTCTGATCCCATCTTGTAGTCAGCTGATCAAATCACGTGAAATCGGTAGTCGTATCTTGAATCGAAAATCTTTCCCCCCTTCTGGACTTTCGTAATCCAATTTCGTCCTCTGTCTGACGATATCTGGTCAGATAAAATTACGGACCGAGATCAAGGCCTCTTCCATTCTCTTCCATCGATCTCCAAGTCGTCAACATCATCAGCGTGCCCGCAACTCCAGCAAATTTCCCTTCAAGTCGGATTGATATTGGAGAGCTGAATTGATATTGGATGTAAGATCCAATTTCGTCCTCTGTCACTCTTTAGGTGTATGATTTCCCAATTCTTCCGGGATCTGTGTGTATTCTGCGGTTGCTGGTATAGTTTCCATGACATTATTCGGAACTGCCAATCTTGATGTTATCTGGTCTACATTTGACCGAGTGAGAAGATCTGGTCCTATAAAATTGAGGACCGAGATCAAGACCTCATCCATTCTCTTCCAGCGATCCCCAGGTCGTCAACATCATCAGCGTGCCTGCACCTCCAGCAGATTTCCCTTCAGGTCAGATTGATATTGGAGACCTGATTTGATCTTGGGTGTAAACATACTGATGAGGATATCCCATATAATCGGTGTCAACCTGAGCAAGTTTGAAGGAAGGGCACTATTCTACTAAAGTCTTACACGGATGCAACGCGTGGTGGAACTTTGTCCATGAATGACCAGGAGTTAGACCCCCAAAAAACAGACGCGGTTTACTACCCCCGTATTGAATAGAAGCTAGTCCAGTGGAAGGCTTTTTGTTCGGGGGCCAGCCGTCCCTAATAACCGAACAGCACATCATTTGGACGGATGTGTCACGTGCAGGACACGGGCCAAACGAAGGCATTCCTTGATTGGTCAGAATGCCAGACAATCCGAGTCAAGCACCTGTGACTCGACGCTTCTCGCCCCCTCACGGAGATTCTGGCACGACTTTGTGGAACACACTGTGACTACCCTATAAATACAGTTGTACTAATTTTCCTTTGTCCCCATAAAGGGCTGTGTAGAGCTACCGTGCCTATTGATATACCATAGTGGGCGGAGCAGGAAGCCAAGGGACCGATACGGAGTTGCACTACCGTTCAGCAAGACACAACACTTTTATCCCTGATCCTGAGCGCAGCTCTGTTGCCAGAGATACCAAGAGCCCTTTGATCGGGATAAACAGAGTTCATTTCAGCGGAACACACTCATCTGCATACCAGTTTTAGTTTTCACGTGAGACCCAATCAAATCTCTTGTTGTGATGTGCTGCATCTACATAGGTGAACGAGTGATCTGATTGGCTAATTTCATTGACCATACGTGTTACGATCACGCTTTCTTCCCCTCAAATTTCATGAACTTTGCCAACGGGCGTGACCTTCAGGATGATAATGGGTAGGGGGTTTTTGACCAATCCAAGGTAGTTTTGCACCGGCCGTATCATGGCCATCTAGAGACATTTGCAAAGCGAAAAAAAATCAAAAATCTCACGCATCGTTCATTTGAAACCGTTTCAGCGAGATGAGCACCCTCCTACAGTCAGGTTGATTGACTTCAAGGAATGTTGTATCTAACTGAAGGGCTCTTCAAACCTTTTTCAGCTATGAATAACTGTTCCGTTTGGTCTGAAGCACCTAATCGAGTTCGAATGACAGGCGAGTAACCAAACACGGTAACTCATGCAGGAAAACTCACTATCATGCTCTTT